ATATATATATATATATATATATATATATATATATATGAAATGGACTTTTCCCTTACGAGAGAAGAGTTCGATCCGGATCGCTGATTTTTAAAATCGTAATTAAATTAATTCTTTATATTTTTTAAGGCATTTATATTAAATCTCTTCCATTGCAATTGCTTTCATGGATGATTCCGATGAGGTTGATTTAGGTTTAATATATAAGATTAATTAGGGACAAGGTTTCTTTAATTTAAGGTTTAGTGGCTTTCATGGTTTTAGGTTTTGCTCATTATGAAACCCAATGTTTGAGGGGCCCTATCTGTCGGGAGAACAAAAAGCATGCGTTGCAATCTATGCTTATATTTTTCCTACCAACTAATTTGTTTTCAAAATCAGAAATTAGAAATTACAAAATAGAAATTTTAATCAATCTCATATAACTTATGTTGTCTCTATCTATTTCAAATCTATTGACTATTATGTATAAATCTTTACTTTAAGGAAAAAGTTTATATAAGGTTGCAATCTTAAAAATGTAGAATTACATATGCACCTAAAAAATCCATTAGAAAAGGTTGTTTTAATGTTGAAAAACCCTTTAATTGATCATCGCGACATCGTGATGCATGAATATTGGAAAAATAGTAATCTTGAGTACCAAAAATACTGCATCTTGCAACACATTATCTAGACTGTTCATTTTCAAGATTTTCATATGTTTATAGATCTACTTTATTTTAACCATTTTAAGAGTTGAAAATTTTATAATTAGATACAAAAATAGATTTTCAAATGACCCTAAGAATTTTTTACACCAAAATTATATATTATGATAAAATTTGGAGGTGTGTCTTAATTGGATTGTTCAAGGTTGAAATCTTATAGAAAACACACCCTTATTTTAGTGCTTTAAACTATCATTTATGTCTCATTGTACTATTTTTGAGAAATTAAAAAATAGAAAAAACACTATTATTTTCTAATAGATTTTACATATTTTAAAAATAGGAAAAGGTTTATATAAGGTTGTAACTTAAAAATATAGAATTAAAAGTGCACCTAAAAAATCTGTCATAAAAGGTTGTTTGGATATTGGAAACCCTCTAATTGATCATCTCGAAATTGAGATATATGAATATGAAAAGAAAAAAAGATTTTGAGTCTATGAAATACATCGAGATGTATGAATATGAAAAGAAAAAAAAATTTTGAATCTGCGAAATAGTGTATCTTGCAACACATTATTTGGATTGTCCATTTTCAAGATTTTCATGTGTTCATAGATCTACTTGATTTGAAGAAGCTAAAATTTTATAATTAGAGATGAAAATAGATTCTCAGGCCATCCTAAAAATTTTTTATATCAAAATTACATTTATGATAAAATTAAGAGGTGCACCTTAATTGGATTATTTAAGGTTGAAGCCTTATGCAAACCACACCCTTAAAAATAGTTACGGCCATTTCTAAATGTTGAACAAAAAATTCTATAAACCTTAAATACTTCATAACTTCGAACCTTTGCCGTAATTTTGGGCACAGTTTGTACAGAGCCGACATTATAAACAATCAAAGTAAAGCACACTTTCAAATAGTGTCAAGAAATGTGGTTCAATATTGGAAATCTTTGTGATAGCCTTAAAATATATTTTCATATTTAATTATAAAATTAAAACTTAAGAAATAGATCTATGAAAATTTGAAAATCTTAAAAATTGACAGTCCAAAAATGCGTTACAAGATGCACTATTTCCAAAACTTGAAATCCATTTTTTTCTTATGTCCATGCATCTTGATGTCGAGTTGATCAATTTGAGGATATTTGGGCATTAAAACAACCTCTTATACTGAAATTTTTTATGTGGGCTCTAAGTTGATTGTTTAGAGCCTCGGCTCTATATAAATTTTTTCCATAATAGATATGAATATTTAAGAGAAAAGTGTTTGGTGGGTAAGCTGACTCACATTATTCTTATGTGATCTCCCCACAAAATATATTTATTAAATAGATTTCTTATCGAAAATTTTCGAGTTCAAAATCTCAACCATGACAATAATCTAAATTTGGAAATTTTCTTTTTTCAAAAAATATAAACTACATTATTTAATTCTTTTCTCCACCGTCCATAATAACTTTTATTGGATGCAATATTTTTTGACATCTATCTTAGAGATGGATGTTAGATCGACAAGGGACCACATGGTAATAGGTGAGTTGGCTGACTCACCAAAACTGTCCATACTAAAGATGTATTATGGGTTTCTTATGTCTTAAAATATTTTGTTATTCTCCACTTCTTACCGTTTTACGTTAGTAGTGTAACGTCCGTAAATCTACAAATAAAGTCCGAGGGAGAAGTTTATTTTGAAAGTCCGAGGGAGAGGTTTCTATACTTTCCCTACGGTAAAAACTTACATACTTGACCCTCGATCCTATCCTGAATGGATGGATGGCTCATATGGCTCCAATTATAATGTCACGCCTTTACATTAATTTATTTATAATGTTTTTTATACAAAGTATTTTGATACTAAATTTTGAACATCAACTCCTCTTATGAGCAAGTACCTGTAAAAAAATATATATTCTTTAAAAATATAAAATGATCAAAATGCTTTTAAAAGTTTCAAGAATATTTTGATCATTATATTTTATTAAAAATATTTTTTTAATATTGTCTTTTGATGCGCCTCATTGAGACGATGATATGTAGCAAATTTCACTTAGATCATATGTAGAAAAAAATAAAAATAAAATACCCTAAAATATAGAATTTAGATCAAACAGTAAGTGGCTCGAGGATAAGCATATATCTTTACCTTTCCCTTCTCTATTAAGTTCTATTTCAAAGTGCAAACAATGCAATACTATGCTTTGAGAGAGAGAAAAGTGAGAGATGTTCCTAATGAACTCGAGAGTCACATAGATGTCCCTAATGAACTTTAATTTCAAACTCCAAATAGGGATCGCAACCGGACGGGGTCAGGTTTGAGTCCAGCAGGATCCAGACACGAAAAAAAATGGGACTTGAACCCGACTTGGTCTGAAGTTGCTAGACCTGGATCCAGACTCAGCCGGAAAATATACTGTGGTACCGAAACCCAAACTCGAATCCAAACCCTACCAGACCAGATTGGACCTGACTAAAAAATTAGAATATCAATATATTTAAATATATTTTATAAATGGATGAGGTTTGTATAAAGTACCGAGCGTTCCAAGATTTGGATCCGAACCCAATCCGCGAGGTCTAATTTTTAGGACCATACCCGTAAACGGGTCCTGTCACCCCCAAGTCCGAAGTCCAAACAATTCAAGCCGGTGGCCCTTAGGGCACTTAGTTTTATCATGGGCGCCCTTACATGCTGACTCAGGAGCACGCTTCCGAGTTAAAGACAATGTAAGAGAACCGCGACTGCATTGGGTTGCGAGCACATATGTACCATATATATGATCCACCATTTAACAGTATAGCTATAGAGCAGTATTAGTAAAATCAAATGGGAACCGGATTAATCGGCCTACTCAGAAAGCCGGCTGAGCCAATTACCCTAAACGGGCAAGTCTTGAGCGGTAAAAAAGTATTTAAAAAAATATTTCGAGTGATAAAAAATTTGTTGAAAAAAATAAAAAATTACAAAAAAAAAATCTACTAAAATATGAAAAACATATAAAAAGTGATTAAAACAAAACACATTCAAATGAAGTTGAAAATTAATGAAAAAAAAAGATTTTAAAGAATCTATTTATGTTTAGGGGTATTTTTAAAATTTTTTGAAAAAATTGGAAAAACATAAAGTGAGTATTAATAACCAAAATAATTTTTAATATTTATCATAATATAAATAATATTAAAAGAGGTATTACAAACCAAAGTCCTTATTTTTTGGATTATATATATATATATATATATATATTTTAAATTATCGGCTTATCATCCAAACCATCCAAACCCGGAACCAACAAATGACCGGTTCTGATCTAACCGAACGGTTACCAGTTAGATTTTTTCTAACATTGCTATCGAGTGTGCCTGTGCACTAAAACTGTTTTTGGGTATACGAGTAGTGCGAATCGAACTTAAGACGTAACATTGCTCGATGTCGTTGGCCACTCGAACCTAAGCCGATTCCCAATGGCAAACTAAACCATCATAAATTACTTGGAAAAGCATAACTTTGGCTATAGTATGGTCATATAGGGCATCACCTTCGGTTTCTGTACGGACGGAGGTGATTAAAAAAGTGACACGTTGTCAATTCAAATTGCACTGTTAACCTTAGTGATGGGGACGGTGATAACCCTATGACTATTCTGTGCTCAGTGAGGTACATGGTCTACGAAGCAATATATGAACCACAGGCCCCACCATGGATACCATTCGCTTTGAAAAATTAAAATCTTCGAGAATTTTAGAGGCGGGAATTTTCTTCTGATTCGAGAACCATGGGAGGCGGGTATAGTTTTTTCTGCAACTTCAACAATTCAACTGAAAAATAAACGATTGAGGGTTTTAAGCTGAAATTATCTTTCAAATTTCACTCTGTTTTCAAAGATCTCGCTCTTTTGATTCGTGGTTTCAAACTGAAACATCTTTTTACTTTCACTTTGTTTACTAAAGAATCTCCCTTATTTGTTTCCAAAAATCATCTCAATTCCTCTCAAATTTCAGGATATAGAAGCGCCCAGGAATGCTCCATTGATGGATTCTGAGGAAGAATCTGCGACAAAACGGATGAAAACGCCGGTAATTTTCTTCCATTTTTTTTCTCTGTGTATTCTGTGATTTAAGTTGCAGGCGTCGAAGAACCTTCATCTTCATAGTTTTGGCTTTGAATGTCTTTCCTATTTGAGGTTCGAGTTTGAGGATCACTCATCTCTTCTGGCTAATGATTTGTGAAGGAAGAAACCATGGAAGAGGAAGCAGATCTGGAAAGGGTAATAGTAGAGGAGACTGCGCATGCAGTGAAAGGATCCGAGGAGATGGAGAACAGCATCAATCTTATTCTTCAGAGGATGGAAGGCTTCACATTTAAGGTACGTTTCTAAGCATAATACATAGTGAATATTGGGAATTCAGCTCTAAGTTAAAGCTTTTATCATAAAATTACAGTGTTACGACTTAATTGCAAACCGATTACTCCGCATTTGGTCTGATTCTAAATGAGTTGCAGTGTTAGGCATTTTCATTTACCTTTTACAGTGATAGATATGTAATTTGGAAATTTTGGGCTGTGATATAACTTAAAACAGTTTTTTAGTTTTTTTATGACTTGGTGATATGAAAATTCCTGATTTTAAAATTCAGGAAAATCCTTTTATCAGAAAAAGATGGCAGTGTGAAAAAATAAAGAATTTGAGTTGATATTCTCTTACTAGTACGCCGAAGTAACCTTTCAATAAAGCTGAAAGGTTTTCTATACATTCGGAAAATTACAGTGTTCAATTCAGAATATTTTACGGACTGTATAAGCTAGAATCACAGAAGTATTCTTCTGCAATTGCTTTATCTGAATCTTTTTGTATAAAGCATTTTAGTCCAAACTCTTGAATGAAAAATTCTTGGAATTCGGGATGATAACTGATTGATATCATAGCCAAAAAGATAAAACTGAAAATTTCTCTTTGATTAATTTAGAAAATTACACTGCTCAAGTCATAATCTCAAAAATATTCCTCTTCAACTGCTTCAGAGTTCAAAAGAATGGAAATTTTCAAGTTGTTTTTCCTTTCTCTGTTATTTAATGGAGAGGAGTCAGATTGGTTGCTTAAGTATCCGGTTAACCTTGCTTCTTACTCTTCTTAGGTGTCTTAACTAGGTTCATTGAATAGCCTTTAGGTTTATTAATGAATGTAAGCTATGATCTATGAGTTGTTTATGCGAGTAAGGGCGGTTAACTCTCTTCTAAGGTGTCCCAGTTCATGGAGATTCATGGTTCTATAATTCGGAAAAATTTCAACTGTGGTATCTCCTTACAGAACATTGTGCCTTTTTGACGAAAAAATTATTAATGCTGGGTGGTATTCTGTTCATAGCACAACAAAAGAACCTTTCAATGACATTTACAGGTCTCTGAGCTTTTAGAAGCAGGGCGTACTCTATTCAGACAACTAAGCACCCAATTTGAGGAGCGGATAATCTCGTAAGAATTAGTTCTTCAAAAAATTTATTGCGGACACTAAGTTCCTTGTTACAGGAATATTTGTCTACAGCTAAGTTACTGTAACTAGAATGATTCTCCTTGTTAATGGTGCGTACCGTGTTCTTTCTGCGTTAAAAAAGCAATCTCTTTTTTTTCTTTTCCCAGAATTCATCAAAACCAGATTGAAATATGGCAAGAAGAGATCAAAGAGCTACGTGTTCTTGATGCAGCCAATGAGGAAGCAAGTGGTCGTCTTCATGGCGCTCAGTGCCTTCTTCACAGTGCAGGTATAAACTCTTGATACTATCATGCTCATGTGTATCTCACACTGTACTTCGACACGCAAACATTCGCGAAAAGGAGAGATCAGTTTCTTCTGGTGAAGATTTTGAATGGGATATACAGTTGGTTGTTAAGAGGGGTAACTGGGCCTCTCAATGACTGTTCAAGTGGGTGTATGGGTGTAGATTAATAGATCACAATCTTCATGTTTTTGCCTTTAAGCCATGAATGAATGAGTGTATATGATTCATGTGACCATAGAATGATAGAAACCTATCGCCATAGGTGTCGTGCCATCCAATCAATGCGGATGGACAGTGATAGGGAGAGGGGGACCTCCCCCTCAGGTCATTTCATGTTCAGATGGATCCCACACTGTCTACATTGCTGTCCATCTGTTAATTGGATGGTGATGACACTTATGGCTGCTGCTTTTACATGGCTTTTTGAAGCATGGTACACAGCTCTGCTATAAATTAGTTTTTCCTTTGAAGAAGCATCTTACACAGCAGTGGTGTGTGATGTATGATACTCTGCAATGGCATCCACCCATGCCTTATGTTTAACTTAATATTATTCTTTCCCACTTCTGCAATTAGGGGTGCGATTTCGCCTTCCTTTAGGCTTTATCTCCAACAAACATCCAAGAAAAACATATGGAAATTGGAATCGGAGTGTATATAGTGTGATATGTGTATCATACGCGCAGTATGGTTGGTATATCATGTCCACCATGTATGCAACAATGTTGAGCAGTTCCTTTATTTAACAGCCATTGTTTCCTCTAGTGGAGAAACATCTCATCCCACTGTTATTATGGATGGAGGAGATAACGTGCATCATAATGTTGGTATGGCACATGCATCAAGGTCAATAGTTTCAGTGATGAACCATTGTTTACAAAATCCGCATGGGACCTTGGAGAGCTAGGGAATCAGAGGATTCTTGATTTAGACCGATGTACAAATACAAAATAATAAGAGGAAGAAAAAACATGAAAAACGGGGGAATTGGGTCATTCAAGGGTTCACTAGAATGTGATCGCCCTCGAGAGGTTTGGATTTTGTTTTTTTTTTTTTTGGGGTAATTCAGTAGGGAAGACATGTCTTTACCCGTTTTTTCAAATAGTTTAAAAGTAAGGTTTTTTAAAGTGTCAAATAATACAGTGGAAATGAAAATCACAACGACTAGAGTAGGGGGGTGCTACCACTACCATCCCCGTTCTTTTCCCGAACTCTGCACTTTATTCTGCAAATAAACCACATATAAACTTAAACCCACAAAGCCCCTGCTATTTGAATCCCGAGCAATCTACGGCAAAGGGAAAATCTCCTTGTAAGTAAAGCTGATACAAGACGAATGTGCTTTTCCTTTGGGGAAATAGGTCTAAGAAGAATAATGGTAAAAATGTTGGTGAATGGTAAAGGGTGGGAAAGATTACACTATGAATTCCATGAGTGAGTTATGAATTTGAAGAACAGAGGCCATAAGAGGAAACTTGAATATTTGTGGAGTAACAAAAATGAAGGAAATTAAGATTCTTCAAGCTCACCAAATTGGAACAAAGAAGCATAAAGGTCAAAAGTCGGTTTCTCTAACAAGGTTATGGTACATAATTTCAGATCTCATAAACTTTGTTTAAACTCCAAAAGACTATTAAAACATTCTTTATGGGGAAAAACGACGTATATCCTCATTTCTAAAATTATCCTCCCAAATAACCCCTTAGTTCTGTCATGTTTACCTTTTCTATTGTCCAAATTATAAAAACTTGAAGTTTATTTTTCTCATGTTTACTATATTGAAGTCAAAATATCGAATTGAGGGTTTTTCAAAATCGAAGCAATCTCTCTAGTAAACTTTTGAGGTGCGCTTTAATTTGATTGTTTAGAGCTTCACCCTTATATAAATCCTTTTTCATTTTATTTAAAAGAAAAAGTTTACATAATGTTGACACCTTAAAATGTAGAATTAATGTGCACCTCTAAAATCTTTTGTAAAAGGTTATTTTGATATTGAAAAAACATCTAATTGATCATCACGGCAATTAGATGTGTAGATATGGAGAAAAAAGAGAGAGATTTCAAGTCCTAAAATTAGTACCTTTTGCAACACATTATGTAGAATGTCCCTTTTCATGTGTTTATAGATCTGCTTGTTTTGAACTATTTTTGGAGTTTAAAATTTTATAAATAGAGATAAAAATAGATTATCGTACCATCTTAAGAATTTTTGACATCAAAATTGCATCTCAAGACAAAGTTTGGAGGTGTATATTATTTTGATCATTTATTTAAAATGCATGCATTACAAGGGCATAATTAGTGCATATAATAATTTCATATTCCATAGAAAATTATTCCCTCTTTACCTAAAATGACTCTATCCTAATAAATTCGACTTCTTTCTTTAAAATGTAGAAATAAACTTGCACCGATTTTCATCTATTTCGAGGTACTTACCCAACATTCTCTCTAGATATACGTTTTTTTTTTTTTACGATATGCGTCCATCCATTGACTGTGATTTAATGATGTAGTAAGATATTTGAAACATTCATGATGTATGTACGCGAAACTCTGTTAAAAATAGATTGTTTTGAATTACCTCATTGAAATGAGGGGATTTTTACATATGTATTCTAGATGTTACATGGAGGTCCAAAATTTATGAGCAGGTCCACTGGTCCTTTTTTTGCACTTTTTGTTTTGTTTCATTTTGTTTTTGTTTTTGGGTTTTTTGGGTTTTTTGTTTTTTTGTTTTTTGGTTTTTGGTTTTTTTTGTAATTTGGCCCTTAGGTTTTTTTGGGTAAGTATTTGCCTCTTTTGATATTCCAAACATTGGACAATATTTTTATTTTATTTTTTAACTTTTAGGGACAGGTCCAAAGCTCGAGACCTTAAAACACTTAGCTTGTGGAAACATTGTGGAAGCCTAACAGAGGTTTGGAACATGATCCCTCGAATAAACTTCATAGTACAGGATTGGTCTAGGGTTCTATACTGGTGTGCAACTGATCAGACAGTCGAGGATCTTAAAAAGAATTTTAAAGAAAAAAAAAATTTAAAAAATTAAGGGGACTATTTGTGATATGGTTTTTTATATCATTTTCACAAAGATTGGAAAGTATTTTACGTATGGATACTTATTTTTATATTTTTACCTTTTTGTTAAGATTATTTTGACAAAAACCCATCATAAATTAATTATTTTAAGTATGAATACTTATTTTTAAATTTTTACATATTTTTTGGATTATTGTGAAAAAAGAAAAATTGTTTCATGCATGCTGGACCGCATGACTCTTCATATTTGGTCCAAAAAGTGTAAAGCATTCATCTCAAAGATGGATGCAAGTAGGTGTTCCATAAAATAATAGAAACTAACCGTCCAAATATTTTCTTACTAGAATTATTAATTTTTAATTTTATTATTTCTATTTATTTATTTATATTCATGATCATGTTAGAGATTCCATGTCTTTTAAAAAATAAGTAAAAAAATCCATCTCAAAAATAGATTTATTAATAGGCCCATATTTCTCATATGTATGCTTAGCCGCATAGAAACTGGCTCCTTGAAAAAAATCAATTCATAAATTAATTTTTCAAAATCTAATTGTTTACTACTTTTTAAGTCTCATTCAAATGTGTTTTGTTTGGTCTTACTTTACCGTTTATACATTATTTCTTATTTTTAATTTTTTTCATATATTTTGTGTAGTCAGAACTTACCTATGGCCGGTTTGGGTTAATTTGACCCGGCCCATGGCTGGTTTCTACAGCCGGTTTGTGTAATCGAATGCTAGCGCCCATTTGCGTCCATGACGGGGTTTGTAAATGGGCCCATGACCTGGTATGTAATCGAACACTAACGCCCATTTGGGTCCATGACCGGATAAAACCCAGCTCGGTATTTTGATGGTTAGCTTCAGTGTTTTAAAACTCACCGAGGCGAACCGGACTTGCTCGGTTCGACATGGAAATCGGCACCCCGAACTGAGAGCTCGGTTCGACTCGAGAATCGGTACCCCAAACCGGACTCGTTCGGTTTGACACGAGAATCGGCACCCATATCGGTTCCATTGGCGTATCGCTACAGTAACTCATGTCCCCATGACATCATCATTCCATTCACGTATTGCTACACTAACTCACGCCCCTTGACATCATCATTCCATTAGCGTATCTGCAGTAACTCACGCCTCGTGAATGATGATATCACACCCTGTGAATGATCTCGTGACATCATCATTCACGTGTCGTTTCAGTGTTTTAAGTTTTTTTATTTTTCAATTAGGTAATAACTTTTTTCAGTTTTTTTTATTTTTCAATTAAAAATTCAAATTATATTTTTCAATTAGGTAATAACATTTTTCAATTAAAATTGGCATGACATCATCATTCACGTGTCGCTACAGTGTTTTCAGTTTTTTTTAATTTTCAATTAGGTAATTTTTATTTTTTAATTAGGTAATAACTTTTTTTCTGGTTTTTTATTTTACAATTAAAAATTCAAATTATTATTTTTCAATTAGGTAATAATATTTTTCAATATTTTTTATTTTTCAATTAAAAATTCAAAATATATGCCCTTACTTGATTATGTCATGGTTACACATAATCAGACTTACCCCGCCTCGCTTCCACATCGCCTACCAGCATAAAATTTGTTGTCTTGATTCTTTTATTAAGCCATTTCATCCCACATCTCTTGGATGTGAGATAATTATATACGTACCTCTGCTTTATTCAAGTGATGTGAGGTTCATGCACTTTAAGCCTCTCTTTTCTTTTAAGTTTTAAGTTTTAACATATTAGTCCACCATGGTGTACCTCGACGGTGGATGCCCATCATGAATTAGAGGAATATACGTCCGGTGGTAGTAAATTAAATTAAATGATAGAAAAAAAGAAAAAATTATTAAAAATAATAATTAGGTGCTCACCATTTCTATCTTTTACCAAAAAAAGTTAAATTTACCTATCCAGATAAAACATAAAAATTCTATTACGCTAGTATCTTACGAGATTATTTTATTATATAATTAATAATTAATTGAGTAGTTAATTGAGATTAAAAATTAGTACTAGCTCATAGGATATTAAAAAAGCAAAAAATAATATTAGTTCTCATTTATTGAATATTAAAAAATATTAATTTAGATGATATTTTAACATAGAAAAATAACACTAACTCATACCACTTTAGAATTTAATTCTACATTAACGAACAAATATTTTATTTTAATTTATTTTCTTTATAAATTATGTAATGTACTATTTTTTCTAACAATTGTCAATAATACATTTTAAATTAGTTGATATTATAAGATATTTTGGATTTGTTATTATTTGTGTAATAAAATAACTATAAAATATAAACCAACAATTTCAATTTCAATATATAATATTATAGTTTGTTAGGTTGTAATAATTTTGGATTATAGTTAATTAAGTTGTTGGTTTATATTTTATGGTTAACAAAAGTTCATACGGGAAAAAAAACATCTCAAGATTCGTATATTATAAAAAAAATGAAAGTTAATACGGTAGTACTCTCATTTTTTATTGGATTATTAAAAAACAACATTTATAATAAATTTTAATAAAAAAATTTTAAAACTTGATATGCAGATTCGATCGATCGATTTATGATCCGAATCGTCGATTCACCGATTCGAATGAGTTTTGAAGGTTTGGGTCCGTATTTTTTTAAAGCTGCAAGGTTAACATAAAAGAGAGAGAGAGAGAGAGAGAGCCGCCACACAAAGGGACCTACCGACTTATCCCGAACGTTCGAACGCCTCCCTCTATTCTCTCTCTCTTTTCTCTTCTCTCCGAGGCTACTCCTGGCTCCAACATCTCTCTTTCTCGCTGTAGCAGCCACGTGTCATATTCGATGAGCCACCATAGCGCTTGTTTCCAGAGCTCTCTGCCACTCTCTAGAACACTCTTGACCCACCCCAGAACACTCTCTTTCCTTCTTCCTCAATAACTCTTCTCGCTATAAAACCAACCGTCCATTCGTTCCCCATCTCCGATAACGAAACTAACAAATCCGCTCTGTTTTCGCACCCAAGTTACTGTAAATTTCCTGTTAAAACCCAGAAAACCAGAAGCTCTCGCCCCAATTTTGCAACAACTCTATATCGCTGCTCTTCTTGTGCTATCGTTCTGCAACTAAGCCATGGCTAAGACAGAAAAGGCCATTGGCATCGACCTCGGAACCACCTACAGCTGCGTTGGAGCCTGGGTGCATGATCGTGTCGAAATCATTCCGAACGATCAGGGCAACCGAACCACACCTTCCTATGTCGCTTTCACCGACACCGAGCGGCTGATCGGTGATGCCGCCAAGAACCAGGTCGCCTTGAACCCAGAAAACACTGTGTTCGATGTGAAGCGACTCATCGGCCGGCGCTTCTCTGATCCCTCGGTCCAGGCTGACATGAAACTATGGCCTTTTAAGGTGGTTCCAGGGCCTGGCGATAAGCCCATGATAGTGGTCAGATACAAAGGCGAAGTGAAACAATTTTCTCCTGAGGAGATCTCTTCGATGATCCTAACGAAGATGAGAGAGATTGCCGAGGCCTATCTCGGAATTCCGATCAAGAACGCGGTGATCACTGTGCCTGCATACTTCAACGACTCGCAGAGGCAGGCCACCAAGGATGCAGGGGTCATCGCAGGCTTGAACGTGATGCGCATAATCAACGAGCCGACGGCTGCGGCCATAGCCTACGGTCTCGACAAGAAGGCGACCAGCAAGGGTGAGAAGAACGTCCTCATCTTCGATCTTGGTGGCGGTACCTTTGATGTCTCGCTCCTCACCATTGAAGAGGGAATTTTCGAGGTTAAGGCCACTGCTGGTGATACCCATCTTGGAGGTGAGGACTTCGACAACCGCCTGGTTAATCACTTTGTTCAGGAGTTCAAGCGCAAGTACAAGAAGGACGTTAGCGGTAACGCCCGTGCCCTTCGAAGGCTGAAAACCGCCTGTGAGAGGGCGAAGCGGGCCCTCTCGTCGACGACTCAGACCACGATCGAGATCGATTCCCTCTACGAGGGTATTGATTTCTATGCCACCATTACTCGAGCTCGGTTTGAGGAGCTGTGCATGGATTTGTTCCGCAAGTGCCTGGAGACAGTCGAGAAGTGCCTGCGCGATGCGAAGATCGACAAGTCACACGTGGACGACGTGGTCCTGGTCGGTGGTTCCACTCGAATTCCTAAAATTCAACAGATGCTCCAGGACTTCTTCAATGGCAAAGAGCTCTGCAAAAGCATAAATCCTGATGAGGCGGTGGCCTATGGAGCAGCAGTTCAAGCTGCTATCCTTACTGGCGAGGGCAGCGAGAAGGTGCAGGACCTTCTGTTGCTCGATGTCACGCCTCTGAGTCTCGGCCTCGAAACAGCCGGTGGAGTCATGACGACGTTGATCCCTCGAAACACCACTATCCCGACCAAGAAAGAGCAGATCTTCTCCACCTACTCAGATAACCAGCCCGGTGTTCTGATCCAGGTCTACGAAGGAGAGAGGGCGAGAACGAAGGATAACAACTTGTTGGGTAAGTTTGAGCTCACTGGTATTCCTCCTGCTCCTCGTGGTGTTCCTCAGATCAATGTCACCTTCGACATCGATGCCAATGGCATTCTGAACGTATCGGCCGAGGACAAGACTGCCGGCGTCAAGAACAGGATCACGATCACGAACGAGAAGGGCCGATTGAGTAAAGAGGAGATCGAGAAGATGGTTAAAGCTGCAGAGCAGTACAAGGCCGAGGACGAGGAGGTGAAGAGGAAGGTCGACGCCAAGAACGCATTGGAGAATTATGCTTACAATATGAGGAACACAATTAGGGATGAGAAATTTTCCGGGAAGTTGGACCCCGCCGATAAGCAGAAGATCGAGAAGGCGATCGACGAAACGATTGAATGGCTTGATGGAAATCAGTTGGCCGAAGTGGATGAGTTTGAGCATAAATTGAAGGAATTGGAGGCGATCTGCAACCCCATTATCTCGAAAATGTATCAGGGTGGAGACGCGGGTGGCATGCCTGGTGCAGGGGGGATGCCATCGGATTATGGCCGTGGGTCTTCTGATTCAGGCACTGGAGCTGGCCCCAAGATTGAAGAGGTGGACTGAGGAAGAGAGTCCAGTCGGAGGGTTTTGTCTTTCAAGTTGATGGATGGCGTGGGGGTTTATGCCTTTGCACTTTGCTTCTCTGTTTTTATTTTGTTTTTTGTTTTCTTTTTCTTTTTTCTTTTTTTCTGTTTTAGGTTAATGTAATGCAATGGGATGGGATGGGATGGGATGGGGAGTGAGTTGCTTCTTTTTGGTTTAGTTAGTTAATGTGAATAAGAGAATGTAGTGAAGATTTTCAGGATAAAAATAATTAGTGCTCACGTTTTGTCTATGTGCTCTGTTTTGTGCACCTATGTGTCCAGGGGCAGGGTCCGAGTCCGAGTCCGAGTAACTGGCCAACATATGCTAACCGGGATCCTAAGAAGTTGGAGTTATTTATGTACGGACCAAGTCAGGAAAATACGATTTTTTCTCTGTCTTATCTCGAAATTACATTCACAATTTATTTATTTATTTTATAAAACTATCTTTTGGTTTGAGGATGCCACCATCAGCCTATATTATATTTTATTTTGTTCTAGTATTTCAAATTATTTTATTTTATTTTTTTTCTTGTACCCGAAGGTTTGGGGTACTTATTCAGGTTCCCATCTTAGGCTATTTTTTTTAGCATTTCGGTCTAAGAATGAGGACTGAGGACTTTGGACCGCTCTCTACACTTTGAAAATATGAACTTGTTATTTATTTTTAAAAAATTCAGTTCAAAGATTGAGATTTCGACATTTTGAAACTATGAACTCCTTATTTTTTTTTAAAAAAAAAATTTAGTTTTAAAGATGGAGATTTCAAACCGTTGTGGATTGTAAAATGTAAATAAGTTTTTATGGTCAAAATATTTTGAATTTTTATTAAAATGATAAAACACTACATAAATATTTTAAAAAACATCTACATACTATTAAAGTCCGCTAAAAGTGAATCGGCTGGTGCTGGTTCCAGTTTGACCCGCCAGAACTGAGACGTACCGCGTTTGCGAACCCAACACAATACAATCGAATGGAATGCCTACAAATTTCAATTTTTATTGACCTCTCCTTTGCCTTCTCAAATAATGAGCAAAATTGATATCACAACGTTTGGATGGATGTGTCACTTCCCTCCAAAAGGTTTAGATTTATGGTACCTTTGTCTCTCCTTCTATAGTCTAATGGATCACCTTCAAAAAATATTTTTTTGCCATCCTCATCGAAAAGACCACCTCTGCTGTAATGGTGCCCATTTAGAGCCTCATTTGTGATTACAAAACAATCAGGCCCTAAAAATTGCATTAACACCTTTATGATGTGATATTAAATTATTCTGAAAAAACATACAATGAGACTACATTTATTCTATAAGCTCAAAGTTTAAAAATTTTTTTTCGAATTTTGTGACACATTTAAGCTATCAAATTTCACATCGAATGGTTATAAGTAATTGTGACTTCTATCTACCAAAAATAAATAGTTTCATTGTATACAATCTCGATTATTCGTCGTGTCTCAACTTGCCTGAGTTAATATTATAACTTAAGCTCGATTGGTGTCTAATTCTATTGAGGGGAAAAAAATATAATCCCCCTTTCTAAAAAGCTCGTTTGGATCCTAGGGTAAATAAAACCATGTTTTGGATCATAACATGGTTATGCAAACGTTGGTTATACCAAAACCTGGTTATTGAGAAATGACCGTTTGGATAGCTTGTAGATAATACCCAGGTTACGTAAAATCCCACGTTTGGGTCATCGATTTGCGTTACTTATTTTTACACTATTTAGGACACATTCGGTAGGTATGAAATATTTTCGTGCAAAACATTTTCATGTGAAAATTACCTTACACATATTTGGTATGCAACAGTCCATATAAAAAAATTTCCCATAACAAAAATTTTTATCAGAATTTTAGAGAGAAAAACTATGCCAAATTTTAGATAGAGAAACTACCAAAAAATTTTTAGAGAGAAACTATCTCAACATTTTTAGAGAGAAAACTGTCTTAAACTGTAAATTTGATATAGTTTTTCTCCAAATATTTTGAGATAGTTTTTCTCTTTAAAAATTTGAAATTTCACATAGTGGAAATTTCTCTCTCTAAAATTTTTGAGATAATTTCTATCTTAAATTTTTTTCATGTAGTTTTCCTTTCTAAAATTTGATATAGGTTCTCTCACTATACTTTAAAATACTTTCTCTCTCTAAACTTAAAATTTGAGAAAATTTCTCTAAAAACATTGAGATAGTCTTTCTCTAATTTTTTTTTTAAGTAAGTTCTCTTTCTGAAACTTGATATAATTTCTCTCTGAAGTTTTAAGATACTTTCTTTCTAAAACTTAAAATTTGATATAATTTCTCTGTCTAAAATTTTAAGATTATCTCTCTGAAGCTTAAAATTTGAGATAAATTTCTTTTAAAAATTTTGAGGTAGTTTCTCTCTCTAAAAATTTAAGTATTTCATCTCTCTAAATTTTTAAAATACTTTCTCTCTCTAGAACTTGAAATTTAACATAGTTTATCTCTCTAAAATTTTTGAGATAGTTGCTCTCTCTAAAAAAATTTAGTCTCTATCTCTAAAATTTAATATAGTTTATAGGGCAGTGATTTCATGCAACGGTCGTATAGCAATATAATGCAACAATCTTGAAAAACTATGTTAGGGTCATTTTTTTTTATCCAAATTTTAGAACATACACTTATTTCATTCTAATGAACAATCACAAAAAAAGAAAAATTGTAAAATACAACTTAAAAAGTATCTTTTCAGCCCAATTAATATAGGCCGTTTATTTTGATAAGATGCTTAGATCTAGGCCTTAAATGGATTTTTTCTTTTTCAAATTTTTTTCAAATGGTTTTATTATCATTAGATAAACAATGTTAAAAAAAGAAAAAAAGATTTTGAGTTTGCAAAGGCTATGATATTGAAATTCACCAAATGAATGGTATAGATTCGCTGTTGGAAGAGACTCATTTTGATCATATCTAGGGTTCAAATTGAACTTTTTTTTTTTTTTTTGTGGAAACTGACTATTGAAATGAAAAGAATGTATGTGCAAAATTTTGGATCATACAAGTACCACAAACATGGTTTTCTAGAAGTGTAGTTGCATTATGCTATGATACAACCATTGCATTAAATCACTGCCCTAGTTTATATATCTAAAATTCTAAGATATTTTTTCTTTTTAAAACTTGAAATTTTGAGATAGTTTCTTTCACTAAAATTTTTCAAATCTCTCTCTCTAAAAAATTTTAGGTTGTTTCTTTCTTTAAAATATGATATAGTTGCCTCTTTAAAATTTTACAATACTTTCTCTCAAAAATTGGAAATTTAATAAAGTTTTTCTCTCTAAAATTTGAAATTTGAGATAGTTTCTCTCTCTAAAAAATTTCATGTAATATCTTTCTCTAAAATATGATATAGTTTCTCTCTCTAAAATTTTAAGATTTGTTTTCTTTCTAAAACTTGAAATTTAAGATAATTTCTCTCTAAATTTTACGGATAGTTTATCTCTCTAAATTTTTTTGGGTAGTTTCTCTCTCTAAAATTTGATATAGTTTCTCGTTTTAAAATTTTAAGATACTTTCTCTCTCTAAAACTTAAAATTTGAAGTGGTTTCTCTCTCTAATTTGTGTAGATGTTTTGGCGTAATTAATTGTATTTAATCAAGTGGGCACTTTTGGTGTGTGAAAATAATTTTGTCACAAGTTATATTCCTTCTTTCATGCTTGCACAAAACAATGTTTTGGATAACTCAGATTTTTTTCTTGGTTTTATATACCCATATTTTGGCCCTCTTTTTTTATTACAGAAAACATGATTATGTATCCAAAAAGTTGCCAAAAGTGTTTTTTTTCCGGGATAACATGGTTATACAAAATCACGTTTTGTTTACCGTAAGATCCAAGAGCCCGAAAAATCATTATCCTAAATAACCCCTTCAATAAAAAAATCGCAAAGAACTCCTAAGCATTTAATTCTCTTATTTTTATTCATTTAATTCTCTTCTTACTTTTTTTCATTGTTTTAAGTTATTGTGCCTAACCTGTATTTATCATCCTCTTTTTTTCCCTAATAACTTCATTATATAAATACGGTTTGGGATGGTCCTTTTAGCTTGTGAGTTTCACACGATGATAGAGATACAAGTACTCACGGACTGCTGCTGGAGAGAGGGGAGGAAGAGATTCACAGGTAAGGAAGAGAGAACTCTTTTAGATAAGGTAATTTTTTTTTTAAAAAAGATAAATATTGTAATTTGAATAAAAAAACAAAGAGGTTACAACGTCTTTTTGTTAGTGCTTTTTTACAAAAAACCCTCAATCATGTTTATTTTTCTAGGGCTTTCTAAGGAAAAGTCCTCCATCATTTTTATCAAGACTTTAGACTAACTTTTTTTATTTTATTTTAATCCTCAACGTAGGATATTTTCAAGATGTTAATGACTAATATGGTTCTTTTCTTATTAGAATTGGCAAAAGAAAAGATTTCAAATTGCCTTCCCTCTTGTTTGGTTGTTTTTTTTTTTTTTTCCTTTTTTACAATATTCGGTACTTTTATTAATTATCCATGACATTACATCGCTCAGTTCACAATAAAACAGTTACATCATCAAAAACATCCAACGCAGGACGAGAGATACCCGTTTTTTTGCTGATGCATCCATATACATGATTGAAGGGAACTCGAAGAGCCACCTAATTCCATAATATGTAGCCAAATTTGTTGAACTTTTGTGAAGAAGAGGTGATCCCACCAAACTCCCAGGTATTGATGGCAGTGATATTAGACTGTAAATTACAGAGATTAGGGTTTTTATTAAAACTATTGAGAATTTTGTGTTTTTATCTGTGTCTCCTTATAGCCATGAAAACCTAGGGATGGGAGGATGCCGTTTTTCAATGTTTGGCTTTCTTCTTGGAATATCTGATAAAGGGACATTCTTTTTCTAAAAAATGAGTAGTTATTTTCTATCTGTTGGATAAAAACATCTTCTCTATATAAGAAGCCTTTTAGTAATAAATATTAAAATGTATTAATTAAGATAAATATTAAAAGAGAGGAAAATATGACACATGTGAGGCCCTATAGCCACCTACTCGTACCATCTCCCACTTGTTCATCAAAGCCGGATTACATTGAAATATCATAAAGTTTATACCACTTAGTGGGTTTAACATTTATGAGCATATCATTGTCATGAAGCTTTTCATGCTAGTGCAATTATGCAGCTCATGAGACAAAAAGAAATATTCAAAGTCATGTCATGGGGTATTCACGTAAATGCGACTTT